TTCGTGTGTTGTGGAAGTGAACACAGCTCACTTTAAAGCACTCCCATGTGAAGGGCAGCTTAGTAAGTGGTCCTCACCGCTGGCTTCATGGTAGGATCACCCAGCAGCCAAAACCATTTGTATTAGACTCAGAGGTGAGGCCCAGCCATTTCAGTATCAGTGTTCCAGGTGGTTTTAACATCGAGCCAGCTGGGTTATGTAGAGCCAAGGCCGAAGGCAAGGAGACAAGCCAAGCACTATCAAGACAGAGATGCAGGTGAGTAGGGATCAGGAAAAACTGTGATATTAAATAACCCAAGCAAGTAAATCAAGATAAAGGCCTGAACTCAAGCAGGAACCCTGAGAAATGAAAAGACAAGGATGGATTTGAGTGATCATTTGCAGGCAGAATTGGTATCACTTGTCATGATTAAACTCTAACATTTGTTGATCACTTAAAACTCTGGGAGAGCCGGGCTCGGTGTCTCAGCCTGTATCCCGCGCCTTTGGGAGGCTGAGGTGAGTGAATTGCCTGAGCCCGCGGGTTCGAGACCCGCCTGGGCAGCGAGACCTCATCTCTACAATAAATCAAAAAATCAGCTGGGCATGGTGGCGCATGCCTGTAATTCCGGCTACTCGGAAGGCTGAGGCGGAAGGATCGCCGGAGCCCAGCAGGCCGAGGCTGCGGTGGCCGGGAGCGGCCACTGCACTCCAGTCTGGGCGACAGAGTGAGACTCCAACTCAAAAAAAAAAAAAAAAAAAAAAAAACTCTGGGAGATACACTGTGTGACATGTGATCGCCACATTCTTTCATTACTTCATTTCCTCCTTTGAGGCTCGGGGAGGCTCAGGGGAATTGACAGACCAGGAAAGAGTCTGTGGCCCCTAGGCCCTCGCCCTGGGGAGCTGGGTGAATGGCTGTGTGTCATCTCCGGATGAGCTGAGGGGACAGGCTGTCTCTCCTTGGGCACATCTAATATGACCTGGCACTGTGTCCTGGGTTAAGATGGGTGAATGATGTGCTGGATGGACAATGAATGGTGGCTGATGTGTCTTCTGCCCTCAATTTCCACCAAGGCAGGTTCTCTTCAGAGTCACAACTCAGTGGAGTTTATACCAGGTACACCTTGATTTGGGAGTGTTCACAGGTCCTGTGTAGTACCCCCACTCAGAGGAGCTGCAGCTGAAGACACCCAAATACATTCGACCCTTTAATTCAGTCTATCGCCGGAATTGTTTTTCTTCTAAGTTACAAACACGAAACAGAGTGACGTATGGTCTCATATGCTCAGAAGGAACCTGGGAGGAAGTAAACCGCTAAGAGGGTTATTTTTGGCTCTTTCACTTACTGCTTTAAAATATGCTTCTATTGTTTGAGGTTTTTGCAATGAGCATATATGGCTTTTATAATTTAAAAAAACTTTCCATTTTGAAAGCAAAACAAAAAATGTACAGTTTTATTGTAGAAAAGATTTTATCTTCATGACAAATGATGATGTTATGTGCTAAAATTACTCGGACTTATCTTTGCCTTCAAGGATGACTGTGGATAAGGGTGCAGCTCTAATTGCTCTGAGGCTCCCAGCATGTCCGTCCCCCCTTCCTCTCTAAAGACATCGCTCATCTTGACGCTGGTTTTCCAGCCTCTAGGTTGTCTCTGGTTACTTCTAAGGGTAGCATTAGATGTTCAAAACATAATTATTTTTAATTAACTCATTTAAAAGAAGATCTTTGCTGTATGCACTTGAGAGGGAGATTAGTCGAGAGAATGAGAGGTTTCTGACATCAAAGAAGCCGTGTCACAACCTCAATCCAGGTGTGGAGTCATGATTCTAATTCTCTGTGCTTTCCACAACATCCACAACAACCACAAAGCCAGGAGGAGGTATTATTACTGATAGCTGACTTATGAAATGCCTTTCCTAGGCCATAACTTTTCCCGTGCAACTCTGCTTTTCTTTGAATTTGGCATTTCCAGCCTGTGCATTTTACACAAAAAATGTCAGCAAGTGGAAAAGAGAAGCTTAACTGTTTCTCTGCGGCCTGCAGCCAGGTGAATACAGGTATAATGTTGGATGGAGGGAGCCCAGTGGGTCAGAACTCCTGCTGTGGACCTGTTCCTGCCAGTTGGGAGGGAGCATTCCTTACTACAGGGGGCAGGGCGTGATCTGGCTGAAGATGGTGCTGGCCTACAGAAGGATGGGGAGTCGTGGGAGGAAGCAGCCCCAGCCAAAGAGAGCAGGCCTCCTAGCTCTCTGCCCAGGACACTCACCTTTGTACTGGAGCGTGTCCTCGGTGTAGGCTAACATGCTGGGGAAGGTGCTACTAAGGAACAGGCCCAGACTCGCAGTCCCCACGAACAGGAAGACGACATTGTAGGAGAAAATAAGCAGCACCAGGAATGTCATCACCACGCCGACCTGTCGCAGCGGAGGTGGAGGCAGTTAGGAACTGGGGAAAGCTGGGCATCCATTGAGAAGGGGAAAACCAGAAGTCTGTCTTCTGCGTTGGAACTTCCCTGCCAATCTCAGGAGCAGTGCTGTGTAACGCGTGCGCCACTCTGTGGACTGTGCGGGAACTGCAGTGTTCCTAGGACTGTTCTGGAATCCACCAAGGAAGCACAGAAAGAAGAGTCCACCTGAACATCTACACAAATAACCACCATACACGCTTAATAAGCCTCTGGTGAGTGAATACTGCTTGTGTCCAAGGTTATATCTGTAAACCCGGGGAACTGCATCCAAGCCAATGTCACCAGCTCTCTCTGCCCTGCTGGCCCAGGGGATAGCACCCTTACTTCTTTGTGAGGAGAGGCTACTTCTCCTTCCCTAAAAGCTGAGTTCATGGGCCAGGCCAAGAGTGCACAGAGAGGAGGCCATCAGATAGCAGGGGACGTGGAGCGATGGCAGACGCAGGGCTCCCACCCTCTGGGAATCCAAGCCAACCTCCCAGGGTTAGGGTCAGTGGCTGTGGCAATCAGCTTGGTGTCCCCCAGATTTGGCTCAGATTCCCATGGGCAGATGCTCACCTGTGCCTGGACACCCCTGAAGATTTCAGGGCTACAGGTCCTGAAATCTTTCTTATTCAGTAAGGTTTCTGTCACATGAGCATGTTTTTGTTACTATAACCCTATCTCTAAATTCTTTAAAAATGTTTTTATGTCAATATTGAGTAATTTTTATGCATTTGGGAAGGAACCCAGGCAGCACACACAAGATCTGGGTTCAGAAGTCCCACGTGGAAGTCCCAACTGTTTTTCACCATCTGTGGAACCTTGAAGTAGTCGATCTTCTGACTCTTAGCTTCCTAATCTGAAAAATGGGACTAGTTATAAAAGCAACCCTACTAGATGACGGTGAAACTATAAATACCAAGACTTCATAAAGTGTGATGCTTCAGACAAATATTCTAGTATTGATGTGTACATTTTTCCTAAATGTCTTTATGCAAGAAATCGAACAAAATCCAACCACTACACCCTCCACTTTTCAATGGAGGATTTATACCTGCAGAAAGGAGACTTTCAGAGTCACAAGTCGCTCCTTGGGGGTCTGCTCCAACTGGAAAAACAAAGCCACTGTCCCAATCCCTGAGTCCCTTTGTTCTCCTCCACCAGCCCCTTGGTTTCTGCCACAATATCTCTGGGGTGGGAGGTGTTCTTGAGACTCAGAGTCCTGACCAAGACACAAAACAGGCTGAAGGGAAGAAGAGCATTGTCTTCCCAATGGAAATGGACACACGAGGACTTCTCTCATGTGGTAAAAACAGGAAAGTAATAGGCATATCTGTGGTTCCACAGATAATGTCTTTCGTGGGCACAGAAAATGGTCCCAAGCTCCATTAGTTCAGTTTCTCCATGTTGGAGTGGCCCTGGGTTCTATTCCAGCCCTTCCTTCCTGCAGTCCCCTTTCATGCAGCGCCATGGTTTCAACTACCCCTATGCCAGGGACCCTTAAGTCGCTCCCTCTAGACAGGACCTGTGTCCAGGGCTCCAGACCTGCCTCTAAACTGCCCTCGGATATAGTCAGTCCCTAGATGACGAACAACGGGCCAAATGGCTTTTCATTTCCTCCACCAATCCTACTCCTCCCCCCTTCAAGTCCATGCACCCCCATCCAAGTAGCTGCTTCAGCCCTGTATCCATGGCTGTCTTTGCCTCCTCCTTCCTTCCCTCCGTCACCTGGGTCAGTGGCAAATCCTGTCAACAGGACCTCAGAGACCACTTGGTTTATTTTTGGAGTCAGGGTCTCACTCTGTCACCCAGGATGGGGTGCAGTGGCATCATCACAGCTCACCACAGCCTCTGTCTCCTGGGTCTAGGCAATCCTCCCACCTCCGCCGCCTGAGTAGCTGGGACCACAGGCACGGACCATGAGTTACCATGCCCGGATACTTTTTGACTTTTTTGTAGATACAAGTTCTCACTATGTTGTGTAGGCTGGTCGAGAACACATCAGAATCTTTGAATCTCTCCAGATCATCCCAACTACCCCCATCCAAGCCACCTTCCTCTCGCACTTGGATTATAATAGCAGATAGCCCAGAAGCCTCCTGCTTGACTCTGTTCCACACTAGAGTGCACTTTTATTTTATTTTTAAATTTATTGTTATTACTTTTAGAGACACGGTCTTGCTCTGTCACCCAGGTTGGAGTGCAGTGGTACAATCAGACCTGCAGCCTCCAACTCTGGCCTCAAGCAATCCTCCTGTCTTGGCCTTCCAAAGTGCTGGGATTACAGGTGTGAGCCACTGCACCTAGCCTAGAGAGCATTTTTTTTTTTTGAGTTGGAGTCTCACTCTGTCGCCCAGACTGGAGTGCGGTAGCTGCTCCCAGCCACCGCAGCCTCAACCTGCTGGGCTCCGGCGATCCTTCTGCCTCAGCCTTCCAAGTAGCTGGAATTACAGGCATGTGCTACCACGCCCAGCTGATTTTTTAAAATTTATTGTAGAGATGAGGTCTCCCTGCCCAGGCGGGTCTCAAACCTGTGGGCTCAGGCAGTCCACTCACCTCAGCCTCCCAAAGGCGCGGGATTACAGGCTGAACCACCGAGCCTGGCTAGAGAGCATTTTAAAAAATTTGTTTTATTTTATTTTTGGGGTCAGGGTCTCACTGAGATTGTGCAGCAGAACAATCACAGCTCACCCCAGCCTTAAACTCCTGGGCTCAAGCGATCCTTCCACCTCAACCTCCTAAGTAGCTGGGACTATAGGCACATGCCACAATACCCCACTAATTTTTTTTTCCAGTTGGGGTCTCATCTCACTTTGTTGCCCAGGCTGGAGTGCAATGGCATGATCACAGTTCACCACAGCCTCAACTTCCTGGACTAAGGCAATCCTTCCTCCTCAGCCTCCTGAGTAGCTAGGACTACAGGTGCACCCCACCATGCCTGGCTAAACTTTTTTTATTATTTGTAGAGAAGAGGTCTTGCTTTGCTGCCCAGGCTGGTCTTGAACTCCTGGGCTCAAGCGATTCTCCCACCCCAGCCTCCCAAAGTGCTGGGATTACAGGTATGAGCCACTGCACACAGCCTACAGTGTATTTTTTTTTTTTTTGAGTTGGAGTCTCACTCTGTCGCCCAGACTGGAGTGCAGTGGCCGCTCCCGGCCACCACAGCCTTGACCTGCTGGGCTCCGGCGATCCTTCCACCTCAGCCTTCCAAGTAGCCGGAATTACAGGCATGCGCTACCATGCCCGGCCGATTTTTTTATTTATTGTAGAAATGAGGTCTCGCTGCCCAGGCGGGTCTCGAATCCGCGGGCTCAGGCAATCCACTCACCTCAGCCTCCCAAAGGCGCAGGATTACAGGCTGAGCCACTGAGCCCGGCTAGAGTGTATTTTTAAAATGCAATGCAGACTGGATGCTGTGGCTCACGCCTGTAATCTCAGCACTTTAGGAGGCCAAGGTGAGAAGATCGCTTGAGCCCAGGGATTAAGATCAGCCTAGGCAACATAGTAAAACCTCATCTCTACAAAAACATCAAAAAATTTAGCCACATGGTGTAGCATGTGCCTGCAGTCCCAGCTACTTGGGAGGCGGAGGCAGAAGAATTGCCTGAGTCCAGGAGGCCGAGATTGCAGTGATCTGTGATCGTGCCACTGCACTCCAGCCTGAGCGACAGAGTGAGACTTTGAATCAAAAAAGATAAATAAAAAATAAAATAAAATGCATTCTGTCCAGCCAGATGGGCAAAAAAAAAAATCAAATAAAATGCAATCCATGTTAGATGAGAATGTGAAACATTACTAGACACTTGTTTGAGTACCATTCACATCTGGCATGTATAAATATATTTGAAAAAAAATTTTTTTTAAACGCAATGCAGGCTGGGCTCGGTGGCTCAACCTGTAATCCTGCGCTTTGGGAGGCTGAGGTGAGTAGGTTGCCTGAGCCCGCGGGTTCGAGACCCGCCTGGGCAACTTGGCAAGCCCTCATCTCTACAATAAATCAAAAATTAGCCGGGCGTGATAGCGCGCGCCTGTAGCTCCAGCTACTTGAAAGGCTGAAGCGGAAGGATCGCCGGAGCCCAGCAGGTCAAGGTTGCGGTGGCCGGGAGCGGCCACTGCACTCCAGTCTGCGCGACAGAGTGAGACTCCAACTCCAAAAATAAAAATGCAATGCAGACCAAGTCCATTCCCTGCTTAAAACCTTCTTTCGGCTTCCTGCTCACTTAGAATAAAATTCCAAACCTGGTTTACAAAAATCCCTGTAGGATGTAGCCCTCATCTGCTCCCCCTCCTAGCCAGTGCTCCATCCGCACCCCCCACCCCCTTACTCCCCTACCCCTGGGTTTTTCAAACAGCAGCACCCTCGCCAGGCCCTCTCACCCTCAACATCCCCAGACTTGGCGCCTTCCTGGCCTTCCTGTATTCAGCACTCAGCATACAAGCCGGAGCAGACACTGGAGCTTGGAGGTTGTGGCTCCCACTCCTTTCCCACCCTCTGGCGACCCCACGTTCAAGGCACACGCATTTCCAGGCCAGCCTCGAAGACCCTCACCCTAAAAATCTCTAGATCTAGGGAAGTTTGAAAGACACGCAAGTCTCTTATTTTAGCCTAGATGACAGAGGACTGAACACGCCCAGGGCCAACTGTCAGCTCTGCCAACCAACTCTCCTCCCACACTGCATGGTCCCTGCCTTAGCCGGTGACTCAGTCTGGCTCTGAGCCTGCGTTCCCGCTGCCTACCACCCCCTCACTCTCTGTGCCAGGGCGTACCCCAACCCCGCTGAGACCATAAGCTCCCTGAAGGCAGGAACCTAGTCTTATCTTGGCCACTTACCTTGCCTGGCGGCCTGCACTTCCCAGCAGGGCCCTGCGCAAACACAGGCAGGAAGTGACTGCTGAGCCCAGGAGAATGCGTGACAGTTAACTTAACCTTGAGGGGAACACTCGGAAATGAATTTGACTTCCAGGGAATATGACACAGTTACTCCGCAGGTACATGTGGGGGAGCGTGCTCAGGACCGTCCAGCGGCAGTTCCCAAGCAGGAGCCCAGCAAAAGTATGATGGAGAGGCCCAGTCTCCTCTAATCACCCCCTGACTCAGAATCTCTGGGGAGAAGGCCCAGGAATCTCTTCTAAAAGCACCTCCAGTGAGTCGGAGGTAATTGGGAGTCACTTGCTCTAGGACAGTGTTTCCCTAAACTAGCTTGATGATATGAATTCCTGGCAGGGAGGCGGAGGTTGGGGGGGGTTGGGTGTTACATATACAGATGGCTAGGCCTCCTCCATACATTCTCATCCACTCATGCTGGGTTGGGCCCTGGAGTCTGATTTTCATTTTAAAAAACCAGGACTCCAGGTCGAGGCTGCGGTGGCCAGGAGCAGCCACTGCACTCCAGTCTGGGCGACAGAGTGAGACTCCAACTCAAAAAAAAAAACAAAACAAAAAAACCCAGGACTCCTCAGGAGGCCGAGGCGGAAGGATTGCTTGGGGTTAAGAGATAGAGACCAGCCTGGGCAACATAGCAAGATCCTGGCTCTAAAAAATTTTTAAAAAAAGAATTAGCCAGGCGTGGTGGTGCACACCTGTAGTCCTAGCTACTTGGGAGACTGAGGCAAAAGGATTGTTTTGAGCCCAGAAGTTCGAGGCTGCAGTGAGCTATATTCATGACATTGTACTCCAGCCTGGGCTACAGAGTAAGACTGTCTCAAAAAATAAAATAATAAAAAATAAAAACCAGGTCTCCAGGTGAGTGCTTATGAGCAGTACCTAACATACACAGACACTTCATTCCCCAAACCCAGACACCCACCCACTCTCCTCTGTCTAAGCAACGTGTCCTACCTGGAGCAGGAAGACAGGGCTGGCCTCCAACCTGTGCCCTCCCTCTTCTCCAGCTCACAGGCTTCTGAGACCTCCTCCCTTGCCTGCATCACTCCACACCAGCTCCACGGATGGGGCCTTCCTCCCTGCTGAGCTCAGCACCTCCTTCACCCTCCACTGTCCATCACATCTCCCCTCGACCAGGGCCTTCCCCACTCAGCTCCTCTCCCAGGGTATTTTCACAGCCTCCTCCTCCCTGCAGGCTTCCTCCCTTCATTCTCTGCCTGGCAACAGGCTTGGCCCACCTGAGTCCATCAAACACAGCTCCCTCCCACTCAGAAATATTTGCAAATAGAAATCCACACTCACCCTCCCTGTCCCATCTCCCTCCCACCCTCAAACTCTTGAGTTTGCCCTACACACCTACCTCCTATCTATATGGAACTAGAATTTCTTTCTTGAAGGTCTTCAACCGGCACAAGGTCAAGACCAAGGGCCCTTCTCGGGGTTCATGATCTTCGTCTCTGTAGCCCCAACATTATGTTCAAACCTCCTCTCTGCTAGAAACTCAACCACGGGAGTACTTTCTTACTTGGGCATATTACCCTCGTGGGGCTACCTGGAGAGGCAGTGAGTCCCAGTCACTGCAGGTGTCTAAGCAGAGACTGTGGACCCCTTGGGAGGAATGTCATAGAGGTAGTTCAAGCCTGGTGGAAGACTGGACTATAGGACCCTACAGGAATCTGTAAGCTGGACTCCACTATCACGGATTAGTGACGTGAAGGCATACCAGGGCAAGAGTCTTAACCCATTGCTCAGGCTCAGACCTTCTGCCTTCCTGGCAGACCAGTTCCTTCAGTTCCTAGAAGGTCACCCTACATGTCAGTGTGGCTACTTGAGAATCAATCACCTAGGAGAACTACAAAGTGCAGATTCCCAGGCCCCCACCCAGAGGTGGTGATTCTGAAGGCTGGGAGATCCCTGGCCTCCACAGCCTCACAGCCTCCACTGGCTGGAGGGCTCTGACCAGCTGGGCACCAAGGCAAACACGCGAGGACCAAGGCCAGCCCACTCCTGCTTCCCTCATGCTCTTAGCAGGCAGTCATCACCTCCTACAGCTTTTAGGCTTTTCAAGCCAGCGAGGGGAGACCCAGCGAGGGGAAGGGACTTTTCCAAGGTCACACAGGTAGGCTCTGCCTCCCAGGTGTCCATCCCTTCCTGATCACATCTCTCTCCTCCTCTCCTCCCTCTTCCTCTGCATTCCCACCCTGATGGCAGAGTCCAATTCTGGACAAATGTCCTGGGGCAGTGGTGGGGCCAGGAACAGATGGGTTTTCTGGGTCTCTAAGAAGTGACAGGAGACCACTTACCACATTGATGGACACCATAGTGGCTGGCTTCACTCTTGAGGAGATAGGAATGGAGATGAGCCGGCCCAGGGTGATGAAGCCCCAGAAGAGGCTAGGGAGGTACCCGGCCACCTTGTGTCCGACAGACAGAGGTTTCTCCACTGCATAGCTGTACACAAAGGCAGAATATGCCCCCTGTGGAGAGACCAGGCACCACCGATCATGCTGCAGCCCAGGTAGCCGATGACCCTCCACAGGAAGCCCCGGTTGGGGTGGGTGTGGTGAGGCTGAGGGAGGACTGACTGTTTCCAGAGCCTCAGCCAGGGGTGGGCTTGGAGCCAAGACCATACAGCATGCTCAGGCCTGAGCTGAGGACAGACCTGGGGTGCCACAGCTTATGGATTGCACCTGTAGCCTAGGGGTTCCAGAGAGGTGTCTCTGGATCTCCATGGGGAGTCCCTGCAGGGCCTGAGCTGACAGGCACTGATCCCTCCTTCAGCCAGAGTAGCCACTTTTTTAAAAAGTGTACATGAGCATCTCATTTTACAGATTAGAGAGCAGGGAGAAGTGACTTGCTCAAGGTTACACTGAGAGCTGGAAGTCAACCAATGCTGTCACAAGTACTTTCCACCAGGTCATCTAAGTTTGTGAGGCCTTCTCTCTGGAGACTCCCTCATACAGGACTCAGTCAGTCAGTCATTCAAGACTGCCGTAGTCTAATCCTAAGTGATGTCTGGAAAAAGGCATTAAATAGTGTAACAGAGGTCACTAGCAGAATGAACAGCTGGGCCTAAATTCTGCCTGAAGCTTGTTTAGGACATTGGCTTGAGAAGCCCAGGTTTGTAATGTATTCCAGGAAGCAAAGTGTCCTAGAGTTTATAAGACATGACCTCTAACTGGGGAATACAGCACAGCCTCTTTAAAGAGGTGGGTATTCTGCACTTGGCAACAAACCAGACAGGCCCTATCTATAGCAACAACAAAAGTAAAATAAAAATTAAAACAATTGGCAGGAAAAGAAGCCCATAGTACCAATGGGCTGTGAATGATTCTCGAAACAGTCTCCTCTAGGATTTTAAATTAAATGATCTTTGTAGCCCCGGCAGTATGTCCGAACCTCCTCTCTGCTAGAAACTCAACCAAGGAAGTCCTTTCTTATGTGGGTGTAGTACCCTTATTGGGTTATCTGGAGAGGCAGTGAGTTTGTCTTTTAGAGACATCACCCAGGCTGGAGAACAGTTGGCATGATCATAGCTCACTGCAGCCTCGAACTCCTGGGCTCAAGCACCTCCCGCTTTAGTCTCCCAAGTAGTGGAACCACAGGCATGCACCACCACACCTGGCTAATTAAAAAAAAAAATTTTTTTTTTAGAAACACAGTCTTGCTATATTGCCCAGGCTGATCTCGAGCTCCTGGCCTCAAATGATTTTCCACCTCAGGGATTAGAGGCATGAGCCATGGCACCCAGCCATAGATTAAATATTTGAATCAACTGTACTCCAGGTGAGGTCTCTAGGAAACTTGGACACTCCTCTTTCCCTTGCCTTCCCCAGACTGGAGTCTCAAGGTGGAGGTCCCCCAATAAGGGGCACCCTCTGAGGCAGGCTCACCGTCAACCCATCCGTCATGAACAGGACCAGGGCGGCTGTGATGTGGATGGCGAAGAAGGAATAAGGGGCTCCTTTGCAATTCCTCCTTTGACAGCAGCTAAACAGGTCCTCATGCCCTGGAGGAGGCACAGGAAGAGCAGGGGTGAGTCTCAGCGTCTGTGTCCCCTTCTGCATACCCTGGGACATGACTGGCAGTCAGAAGAGCCCTGAAGGGTGAGGCCACTTACTGCCTCCACCACCTTCTCTAGCTTTCTGTTAGGAACAGCCCTTGTCCAACTCCCAGTCTTGGTAGAACCAAGGCTAAGAGAAGTTAAATGACTCACTCAAGGTAACACGGGCAGGATTGGGCAGAATGGAGGTTGGAGCCAGAGGTGACCTTCTTCATTTTCTTTTTTTTTTTTTTTTTTTTTGAGTGGGAGTCTCACTCCTTCACCCAGGCTGGAGTGCAGTGGCATGCACGCTCACAGCCACTCTAGCATCAACCCTCTGGGCTCCAGCAATCCTTCTGGCTCAGCCTTCCGAGTAGCTGGAACTACAGACGCAGGCTACCATGCCTGGCTATTTTTTATTTTATTGTAGAAACGTCTTGCCAGGTTGCCCGGTCTGGTCTTGAACCTGTGGGCTCAGGCAATCCACTCGCCTTGGTCTCCCAAAGTGCTGGGATTACAGGCTGAGCCACTGAGCCCGGCCCAGCCTTCCTCATTTTCTTGGCCAGGTCATGCCATGTCCTGCCTCATGAGACCATTAGAGCCGAGGTTATTTTCTAACCATTATCACCTGTGATCTAGGTTTCCTCTCTCTCTTTATTTTCAGACACAAACCAATGGAAAATGCCCAGAAATCTTGCAGCAAACAAAGTGCCTCCAGTCTGCCCAACATGAAGGGAAACCTCAACATGAAGCTATGAGCATGGACATTCATCAGAACTCCTACCTGGGTGTGGCTGAAACTTTGGGGGCAGTGAGGAGGCATCTTCCTTCTCGGGAGGCTGTGTCTCCAGAGCAAGCTCATCTGCAGACAAGAGCAGGGGCGTCCTCTGGGGGCAGCAGGTTAGCAGTCGCTCCTTGGACAGCAGAAACAGCACAGCCATGGGCACTGGAAGCTGGGGAGCAGGCAGAGTGTCAGGAGAGCCCTGCCCTGTCAGGCACCCCCTTCCCACACCTGGCCTATACCTCCACTTGGTGGTCAGCACTCACTTCGCCTACACCATCCTGGGAGAAGACTGGTCTTATCCAAGGATGCCCAGCCAACAACCGTCCCCATCCAATATGCGAGGTGCCTTTGGGGGGAGGCTTATGTAATTGCCCACCAGTAACCACACCCATTTCCCTGAAAAGACAGATATTTGCCACATGCAAAGCTTGGAATCACACCGGGTCTCGGCTGGAGCAGGGCACCTCACACTCCTGTAGCTGGTAGATCACATGATGTTTTGTATCACAGTTCTGCTTTTGTCCATCACAGCCCTATAAAATGTGCTGGGGAATTATTTTATTTTTAAAACCAGAATTTATTGAGAGGACAGAAAAGCTCTCACAGTGGGAGGGGACCCTAAAGGGGAATTATTATCCCCATTTTCCAGATGGGGCCACTGAAGCTCAATGCTATCATTTAGTTATAACCTGTTAGAACAGGAAGAGACCTGAGAGGTGGAGAAATGCCCAGGTCCCACAGCAGGCTGGAACCCAGCATCTTGGTTCTTCCAGCATGGTCTCCACCTCAGGGGCTATCTGAGTGATGCGATATCCTAGCAGAGTCAGAGGCTCTCCTCAGGGGCTTGCAAACAGACATGGACTCCTTTTGATGGCAAAGTACATGTTTGACCGGGCCCAGAGGCTCATGCCTCTAATCCCAGCACTTTAGGAGGCTGAGCCCAAGAGTTTAAGACAGGCCTGGGCAACATAGGGAAACCTCATCTCTATTTTAAAAATAAAAATTTAAGAAATAAAATATGTTTATGAGCACCTACCCCGGAGCCCAATGATCAGTTCACTGCTATTTACATTAAACCTGAACTCCCCGGAGCAACGGGAAAGGTCTCCCATCTCTGAGGTTGCCTAGTGTGGCCTCCACCACCGCCCTCAGGTGCCTCTGCCCATGTCTAACGACCCTTGCTGCCAGGAAGTGCCTCATCAGGTCTAACCACTGCTTTTCTGCTGTGACTTCGGCCCAGTTCCTTTAGCCCAGGAAAGAGAGGAAGCCTAGGGAGCTGAAGAAGTCTCCCAGGGGCTGGTGAGAGCACTCGGCTAATGGGCTCCTCTGGGCTCACAGGAGAAGCTGGCGGGGTAGGGATGGAAGCCAAGCAGACTGCCAGCCCCTGGCTGGGACTGCTCTGGGGGAGGTCTTCTCCCTCCCATGCAGGCAGGCTGGTTCTCACCAGCATTTCCCCAAATCACCCGACAGAAAACACAAAAGCCACTCCTTGTTAACACCTCCCTATGGTGACCTTGGGAACCTTTCTCACACAAAAAATAAGTCAAGGTCAGACATAGCCCCTGGCAGCAGTAAACCCACAAATTGGGCCTGAGTGGAAAGAGACACAGTCTCTGCCCTCATGGAGCCCCAATCCTGATGGGGGAGACACAGCCCTCTCTCCAGTCCAAGGGGGGATACAGGAAGCCCACACACAGAGGCTTGCCGTGGCAGAATGCCTGGGTGAAGGCCAAGGGGAAACAGCTGCAAAAGAGGCCTGATCTCTCAGGTAGAGCTTTCCAGGGAAGTGGGTGGTGGGAAGGACTTCACAGAGGATTGGCTGGCACTGACAGCAGAAACACACCCGATTTTTGTAAGACTCTCATTCAGGGTGGGCAGCCCTACCTTAAAAGTCAGACAAGGGCACTCGTGTGTGCGTGCGTGTGTGTCCACATGCATGCACAGCCTCAGTCTCCTCTGTGGTACACTGTTTATTTTCAGACACAAACCAATGGAAAAAGCCCGGAAATCCTGCAGCAAACAAAGTCCCTCCAGTCTGTGCCTTGTGGGGTGAGAGAGAACAAACTTGGGCTTAAGCTGGACCTTCCTGCTTCCTGGTCCAGGAGTCCCAGCCTAGTGGTTACAGTGACCAGGCTCCTTCCCTCATAGGTCCCCCCTTGGAAGGCACAGGCCAAAAACCGCATTGTTTCCAGAACAATGGATGGGCATGAGCAGAACAGGGAAGGAGAGGAGGTAGAGGGGTGCGTTTATGAGCACCCCTAGTGAAGATTCCAGAAAAGAAAGAAAGTCACAAGAGAAAGAAAAGGAAAAATGAGCAGTGAGGGTAGGGCAGCAGGTAGACAGTCTGTGCTGGGAGTCAGGGCTTTCAGTTGGGCTCAGCCTCTTATCAGGGGCTTGAGCTGGTGATGGCATGACACTCCCACTTGGTCCCAAAGCTTCCTTTCAGTGCTATCTGTGCAGCATTACTCTGAGGCTCAGCTGCAGCTGGGTAGCTGCTCAAGTGCCTGAGTCCAGCCTGCCTGTCCCTGGAGGGCCAACAAGCGCACCCTTCCCCTCTGCAAAAAGGGCCTCTAAGCCACCATGACAAGGAACGTGGCAGCTCCATTCCACAGCCAGGCCAATGGCCACCTTAAAGACTCCCCACCCCCCAGCTCATGCTGGGTTCAAGCTAGGAGGCCAGGGCTGCCAGGCGGGGTACCCGGCCCTCTTGCTCCAGCCTGAGCTACTGTGTGGGAGCCCATCTTCAGTTGCAGAGCACCAGAGGAACTTTCCAACTGGAGATGAGTAGTTAGCACTGATTTGTCAGGGGAACCCAAGAGGGATCTCAGTGTCTGACCCAGTCAGGGAGTGAGGAGGTTATCTCTGCCCTGTTTCCACCACAGGCCGCCTTGGTAGGCAGGGCCCCTTGGAGGTCATCTTGTGTGCTCCCCAGCCTCCACAGGAGCCCCCGATGACAGGGCACAGAGAATCCCACTAGCCATGAAGGACCCCAGAGAGGAACCAGACATTTCCTGCCATGGTCTTTTCCAGGAAAAGGGCTGGTTTTCCACAGGGCCACAGATGACTCGAAAGTTGACCCTGATTTTCACTGTGCTCAACCTGCTCATTGCTTTACCTTCCTTGAGAGCAGGTTGACCACAGGCCATCAAAGAACCTCAGAGGTGATAACCATAAAGGTCAGTTCTCCCATCCTCTTGCCTCCAGGACGGCACACCTCAACCCCAGCATGTTTCTCAGAATCTGACCGGGTGCTGGATGGACGGGGATATGTGTACACTGTACACTGGTTCCCCCCAGGTCTGCTTCGGTGACACTCACATTGATGAGGGCCATGATCCAGAAGGCATAGGATACTCGCGTCCCCGCCCCATCCTTCGGAGGCATCCCAGAAAGCGTCTGGTTGGACCAAAGCTTGGACTCAGTGTGGTGCGGGCCCAGCACCCTGGAGGCATGGAACAGGTGGCTTCGGGAAGTGCCGTTGGCTGTGCTGTTGGCAGGCCAGCAGTTGGCCTCAGACAGGAAGGGATCGGCGATGAGGGGGCTCAGCAGAGCTCCAAAGCCCACAAAGAAATGGAGCACCTGGAGACGGAGAAGAAGCGGGGTGGGGTGGGGTAGGGATGTGGCTCCCTTTGCAGCCCGAGGAAGCTGTGGCCTGGTCCTCCGCACACAGTGCCTGGTGAGCCCTCTACCCCGGGAGCCTCTACCTGGCCCCAGAGCGTGCAGCAGTAAGGGTAGGAAGCAGAAGAGTAGGGAACCTCTCTCAACCTCCTTCCTGGCCAGAATAACCTGGATGGCAGTAGCCAGTTCCCTCCCTCCCTCTCTTCTTTCCCCAATTTTACCACCCCACTGGGGCTGTTCCCCATGTCAGCATCCACTAGTGAACACCCCAAAAGGAAGGAGGCACAACAAAATAAGGACTGGGCAGGAATCCTGGATGACTGGAAGGAGAAGAAAAGAGATGAGGAGAGAGGGAAAGAGGAGAAGGATCCAGCAAGCCCTACGTCACACCACCTTTCCAGTTTACAAAGACCTTTTCCTTATGAGCACTTAGGCTCCTGTGACACCCTGCAATGAAGCCGAGGATAATTACCCCGCTTTAGAGATGAGGAAACCCAAGTCCAGAGTACTGAGTCAGCTGGTCAGTGGTCACACTGGGCTGACACACTGGTGCTCCTTGTGAGTCACCACCCTGGCCTGGGGGAAAATGTACCTGGGGGAGGAGGCTGGGAGAGACTGGTGGGACCCGGGGGTCTCCCATGCCCTCCCCACCACCCCGCCCCATGCCTGCTGGCTGAGCTCACCTGGAGGAAGACGGCCGAGTCCTTCTGGTACATCCTCACCAGCTGCATGTTGGCCACGGTGTCGATGCAGCCCATGGCCAGGCCTGCCAGCGCCATGACCAAAGCCAGCACTTTCACGTCGCGGCAGAAGGGGATGACGGTAAACACCAGGGAGATGGCCAAGGTGGAGGTGAAGAGGGCCCATAACGACTGGGCCAGGCTGAAGCAGGGGAGGTGGGAGTCAGGGAGGAGGCGGAGCCCTTCAAATGGAGCATCCCCTCTCTGCCCTCCATTCACTGGGTGGCCTTGGGAAGCTACGAGTTTCCACCCTCCGGTAGAAAGGGAAGGGAGCTGAAGAACAAGCACCATACCTTATTAGCTATGGGCTGTAAGCAAGCTGTCAAAGATGTTTCCTCAGATATCATCTACCTCACAGGGTGGCAATGAGAACTCAAGAGATTATGCTTTCTGTGTTGTTGTTTTCTTGTTTTTGCCAGGCACGGTGGTTCACGCCTGTAATCTTAGCACTTTGGGGGGCTGAGGCGAGAGGATTGCCTGGGCCCAGGGGTTGAGACCAGTCTGGGCAACTTGGCAAGACCTCGTCTCTACATTAAATTTAAAAAAAAACTAGCCAGGCATGGTGGTGCATACCTATAGTTCCAGCTACTTGGAAGGCTGAGGCAGGAGGATCACCTGAGCCCAGGAGGTCGAGGCTGTGGTGGCCATGAGTGTGCTACTGCACTCCAGCCTGGGCAACAGTGAGAATCTGACTCAAAAAAAAAAGAGAGAGAGAGAGAGAGAGAGACAGAGACTACTACAGAATGCTGCACACACTCAGTACTTCCCAAAGCCTAACCACTGTTATTTTACTTATACGCAGTTAAACCATACATTGTTTCCTTCTAAGCAATTAAATACAAAAAATATTTACCATCCCTCTCAGGGAAACGTCTTTGAGCAACTCAAGAGAACTGTGCTCAGTATGCAACCAGACGGAACCTGAACCTGGAAATCCCCAAGCTGAGCATCTCCTCTTGCCCTGGGAGAGGTGCTGACGGCCATGAGCCCTCCCTACACAGGAATGGTGAGGCAATCATTTCTTCACAGACGCCAGGCCTGAGCTGCCCGCACCAAGGCCCACAGCCCAGGTGTCTGGGTGACTTGGTGACCTCTCTTGCAGGCAGAGGTTGCAGGCTCTGTGCCCCAGAAGGGAGGCCCTGGGGGCGTCTTTACCAAAAGGTGTCTGAGTGGTGACTCAGTTTATCTTCCCCTTCTTCAGACAATAGAAAAGCTTACAGCAGGCAGTCTGAGGGTCTGTTCCCCCAGGAGTGAATAAATAAATGAGCAAATGAGTGAACAGAGCATCTAAGACTCTCTCAAGGCCTATTTTGGGACACTGCCCAATAACCAGACTCTCAGAGTAAGGACCTATATTTATTTCCTGGGACCAATCTGAAAGGCTAACATCAGAAAGAGAATGGATGGCAAGAAGGTTCTAGAAGGCTGTGGCAATTGTGGAAGAATTTTCTCATATTATAAAAAGTTGGAGAGCCTGCAGTCAGCCTCCAGTCCGGCTGCTGGACCTGGAGAGGTGGGAGGTGAGGGAGTGGAGGGCAAGAAGACCGCTCTGAGTTTCCAGCACACTGAAGAAAAGAGGGAGGCCACCAAGGACCCCTCAGGTTGTGTCTTTTCCCAGAGCTTCTCCCCTGTGATTCCCATGGCTCTCAGCCTTGGCTCTCAGCCATCTTGTCTTGCCCCATCTTTGATGAAATCCTTTATCAAAACGGCTCTGCTGATAGCAGCAGTTCGTTATTTTCTCTTTTCTTGTTTCCAGGCTGATCTGTTGGGGAGATTACTGATCATGACCCCTGCCTGTTCCCAGCTCAGTGTGTAAAGGGGGAGGGGAGACCCACCTCCAGACCAGCTGTGAGGAGGAAACCAAGGGAGGGAGGAAAGGGCCGTGGGGAGGCCTGTTTGCTGCTCCCCTGGCTCTCCTGGGGGTCCCTACCCTGGAACCCAGGCCACGCTGCACCCACTCTGTGCCGCTCTCCGTGCTCCTGCGTGCATCTGCTCCCTGCAGTGCGGCCGCCACATCTCATTTGCCTCCTCTCTGGTACCAGGCACAGAGGTGATATCAACACACACTACAGGCTGACCTCTCATAATAGTCTCGTAACAGCAGAACTCTCATAATAGTCCTCTCTCCTTTTCCCTGGCAAGACAGACTAGGCAGCTTCCTGGGTGGCCCGACTTCAGAGATGAAAGAGGGTTCCCTATCTGTGTGCTCAAATATCCCCCATTGACTGTACCAGGACATGACATTTCCACCACTTCACTCACCACTTTGCATAAGCCAAGTGCAAATACTCTCTTGAAGAATTAACTCTTTATCATCATTGCTTTTAAAAAAAACCTGCATGGGTCAGGCAGGGTGGCTCATGCCTATAATCCCAGCACTTTGGAAGGCAGAGGTGAGAGGAGTGCCTGAGCCCAGGGGTTCGAGACCAGCCCAGGCAACTTGGCAAAACCTTGTCTCTACCATAAATCAAAAAATTAGCCGGGCGTGGTACCTGGCGTGAGGTTGTAGTTCCAGCTACTTGGAAGGCTGAGGTGGAAGGATCACCAGAACCCTGCAGGCTGAGGCTGCAGTGGTCGTGATTGTGACACTGAACTTCAGCCTGGATGAGAGTGAGATTCGGACTCAAAAACAAAACAACAAAACAACACCTGGGTGAAAGTGGTGAAGTAATCAGTCCTCTGGCAAAGTCCTGAGGGAATAGGACCTGGGATCAGCAGAGACAGGAAGGGGTTTCGGGAGGTGTGGAGAAGGAAATGAGGATAATATGAGGATAACAAAGAGCACTACCATTTACATGATAAACACTCACATTTCTTGACAGTGTCCTGGAGACCTGGCGCATGAGACACGACTGTGAGGCAGGCTGTGTCACGGCACCCATTTGACCCATGAGTAAACCCAGACTGAGAAAGGCTAAGATAGCAGTGGACGGAGCCTGGACTCCAAACCAGGTCTTTTGGTTTTCTATTCCCTTTGCCATGCTGCTTTTCCATGGAGGAGTGTGTGTGTGCATGTGTAAGCGCACATGTATATGCATATGTGACCAAGTTATTTATTAATGGCTCCACAGAGAAAATGCAAATGAGGGAGGGAAGAGGCAGGAGCCAAGAACCCAGCCAGGCTGGAGCGGTGAGCAACAGCTGAGAACATGAGGCCAGATTCTGTAGAACCTTGAATGGCAGGGCTAGAAAGCAATGGAGAGCAGCTGCAGTCTTCAGAACATGCACCCCCAATGTCCCTCTGCGGGTGTTACCAGAGATCCACATGCTTGCTATCATAAAACTGCTGGCTCCATCGCCAGCCTCCCAAGGCATCTGCTGCAGTCAGTTCTTTGTGGAGCCCATGCCTGGTCCCACGCTTGGCCCAAGAAGGCACTCAATTCAGGTTCCTGGACGCGGCCAGTGACAAGAGGTAGGGCTCGAGGAAGGCGCCTGTCCTCCTACCCACATGAGGTGGGGTGGAGAAAGGTGGGATTATCTGATGGTGGTGGCAGAGCAGAGGTAAAGAGATAAAACATAATGGAGGGATAGGTTTCTAGGAAGGTTCTGCGTGGACAGCAGGGGGCTCAGAAGGACAGGGGCTGGCAGCCACAGAGGGCTGCCCTGCCCAGGCCTCATGCTATCCCATTTGTCGCTCTGTCCCCTCTCACCTTGTCATTCTTGAGAAGGACACTGGATGCCCACAGGGAGCATGTTTTGTCCAGGCCCAGGGACAGGCAGGAGGGAGGGAACAGATGGAAAAGGGAGGGAAACAGGCCTGGGGAATCCCCTCCCTGCATCTCCCGCCACCCCTAGGCTGCCATTTGAATTTGATGCCTCCCAGATGGGGCTGAGAGGGCTGAGCCCACAAAGGGCCTGAGGCCTGGGGGGGATGGAGACCTGTTCCTGGTAAATGGGGACATTCATACCGCAGGAAATTTCAGTTCTAGATCCCAGGCTGTCCACCCTCCCCAGCTGCTTCAGCAGGGCTGTCTGGGCATTCCAAACATCAGCCTGAACAAATTCTCTAAAATGGTATGCTGTTGCCAAGGAGAAAGAAGTCCCAGATACATCCCAGAGCCAGACGGAAATGCATTTATTGCCTGTTTTAAATGGCTTGGTCAACAGCCCTTCCAGGAATATGGGTAATTGAAAATTATGAAATAACCATGTCAAAACAGTTTGGGCACTGAGGACATGGTAGAACTTGTCATCAGACGACTGGCTTCTGGGCCCACTCCCCAGCAGTATGGCTTGGGGCAAGCCACTCACACTTAGCCCCTCTGAACCTCAGTTTCCTCCACTATAAAATGGGAACAGCCAACTCTGCATGAGGCTGAGGCTGCCGTGAGGAGTCACTGTGGTATGACATGGATCCTCCCTTTGCTCACTCACTGGGAATTTCCCTGGGCCACCTGCAGCCCCCTCCCAGGTGTTCTTTGCCTCCCGGCTGGCCCTGGCTTCCCCAAAGAGCAACACTACACCCAGAGAACCACACTCAGCAGAAAGAGTGCAGAGACCAGTGCCAATTCTGGGATCGTACCCCCCACCCTCAGGCCTGCCTCTATTCCTGCTGCAGTGCCCTTTGGGGTAACCCTGGGAGGCTGGTCCGGAAACTGTTTGAGGATGGCACCACGGTCCATCATTCTCAGCACTCCCCTCCAACAGCATCCCAGCTAAGGTGGCAACAAGAACATGAGTCCTATCCCTCATTTTACAAATCAGGAAACTGAGGCTCAGGCAGGCAAAGAGAGTGGAGTAGATCTGAGCCAGAATTCAGTGTCTTGACTCCCAATCCAGGCAGAGACCACAGAGTATCACTAATTTTCCCTCTGCTGCTCCTGGGCTGAGGTTAATTCAGGTCAGTTAGAGGAAGAGCCTCACTTTCCCCAAGGCCTAGGAAACAGCCCAGATGGTCTAGGAAACCTACTTCAGGGAGTCTGCGAAAAGACCAAGTTACTTATTAATGGCTACTCACAGAAGGTGCAAATGGGGCAGAGAAGAGGAGAGAGCCAGGCTTCTCCCTCCCCCAGCCTTGCTGTGGCTCTGCTGGAGTTGCCCGCCCAGTCTGCTTTGCTGGGTGACCTCGAGCACGCGGCTGACCCCTCTTATCCCCACGTTCTGCCCTACCCCAAGGAGGCACGTCATCACCTTGACCTAACCCTGTCTTGGGCACCTGCTCTTGCCCTCCTGGCTCTGTGAAAAAGAAAGAGCCTTCACGACTCCAAAACAGGACAAGGGCCTGAGCCGTAAGGTGCCAGTCAGCCCGTTCCTGCCCTCCACC